TGCTTTCATCCAATCAACCTCTTTAGATTTTTAAAACATCCTTGACATGGATCATGGCTCTCTGCACAGTTAGGGGTCACTTCATTGGTCTTCATAAATATTTACATCATTTTAGAGACGATTATTATCCAACTTGTAAACATTTTATTAAGAAATCGCTAGCAGTTGTACTGCAAGGATTATTTTGTTGATTTTTGATTAAATTAGTCTTTTCTCAAGTCGATAAAGAAAGAATTGATTTAAATAGCTATCACTTTTGTTGATACGCTCTATTAAAAGTTTGTTTTTCCAGTCGATCTTTAAGAATATAAGATTTCTTTTCCAGGCTGCATTCAGCTTTCTCCTTTATTTGCCCACGCAAGCTAGGTCAAGGACAAAAAAATTAAGTTTGTTTTCTCACCAAAAAAATTCTTTTGTGGATAAAAATTATCAATTACAATTTATGTTGCTTTTCAACAAAGACTCGTAATTAGTGAGCAGTAGGGAAACACTCAAAGAGATGAAGTTAATTTTATTTTAGAGTCTTAAACAGAAAATGCGTGTAAACAGACGGAGGCTGACGAAGAGCGCAACAATCAATCAATGTGAAGGCAACCACAATTTGGGGAGGTTCTGTTCTTTTGTTCCGCGAGCTTAACTAAATAACTGGACAATTGTTTCGGCTTTTTCACACAGTTTGCTTTATCAAATGAAGCGTCTGGACTTAACGAACCCGAGCGTCGATATTAAGAGCTTCAAACGTTTGAAAAAGCACATTCAAGATTTTTTTAATACTATGGCTGATCAAATAAAAGGCAAAAAGCGTGAAAAAACCCAATTAGCGCCCCAAAATTAACAGAAATTTTCAGGTGGAAATGTGTTAATATACATATTATTTTTATACACGTTCTAAGTAAAACTTACAACTTAAAACATAATGATAATAAAAAAGTGTTTTAGAAATGCAATGTTGCATATTTTTTGACATTATAGATAAGCTTTTCTGGTTAATTTTTTTATTACTCTCTTTTGTTAACAAATATATCTCTTAATAAATTATTTTAAAATAATCCACAAAAACAAGATGGTTTCCACCCTTACTTCCAGCGTCACCAAACGCATTTACTTATAGGATAAAAACCTTAAGTAAAAATCTGCAAATAGATTAACTTATCGCAAAAACGTCCATTTTTCTTAACAGAGTATTAAGTATTTAGGTGTTTTTTACTTCTAGTCAGTACAAAGATTGATGTTGACAACTTGTTGCTGTTTAAAATGTTGAATTTATGAATTTAAACCTAGCCACCTGCGACAAATCCTCACAATTTAACACCTAAGCCTGGGGTTTAATATAACTGATTGTTAACACAATGCTCGCGGATAAAATTCACTAAAATTTTCGTAATTTTTATAAAGAGCGATAGGAAATTTACGGAATTTGTGAGAGAAACTCTATCTAAAAATAATTAAACTTCAAATTTTTAATTTGTTTAGTAATTGTGTTTTTGGTAGGAATATTTCTAAAAGTTCACTGGTGATTTTAAAATTCACTGAAATTAAAGATTTTTATAATTTTTATAAAGAGAGATGTGTAGGAAATTGACCGAGACGGAATTTGTGAGAGAGACTCTATTTAAAAATAATGAAACTCCAAATTTTTAATTTGTTTAGTAATTGAGTTTGTGGTAGGACTATTTCTAAAAGTTCACTGGTGATTTATAGGTCGGTTGTTTTCAAGTAAAATCTTTAATTACGTCACTGGAATAGCTTGAACATTGTAAATCTGACTTCATGAAAGATTAATTGTCATAAACCGCTGAATAATTATATAAAATCAATACTTTAACAATAAAGTTTCCTGGCGTTTAACATGTCGATCTGATGTAATGACTAGCCTTATTGTCACTACATATATCCAGATGTCAATAGACATCACTTTATGATATAAATACAAGAGCCAGCGTCTGCGCTCTTACACGCACATCTCCTGTGGAATTGTGAGAGATGTCTGTCACTAAAAGATGCTCTTGATTGACTTTTCATCCAACAACGAGGTTAAGTAGAATTTTGGAGAACCCGAGGCGGACATGTGCTGATGTGATAGCTGGCTGATATCTTTCAAACCCTCAAATTTATATAAATTACTGACGTCACTTTCGACTGATCAAATTGGGGATGCTGGAAAATGGAGCTTTTCTGCTTCGAGAAATTCGAAGGAATTATTTAAAAGCAGATCAATTTTTCTTAGCACTCGACTTTTTCGACGGTGTTCCTCACATTTTTATCTCTTTATCCTTAGAAGACCTCGATAATAAATTTTTTAATAAAAAAAATGTAACGTGTTATTATTGGCAAATAAAAATTTTACACCACAGAGTGTGTTAATAATAATCTCAACAAATTAATACGCCCACTTTGCTTTATACAGGGTTATTCATAAATATGAAATTGGCATCTCAAAAATGACCTATAAAATGATGTTAATTTTAATAATAACTCGTGTCCTATCTCTACTGATAAGAATTTTAAAGCCCTCAGTATGTAAGTATAGAAATTTGTTTTTTTTTGTAATAACTTCGGAACCATTTCATCAAATATTATAAAATTTGGAATGGTTACTTGCGAGAACATACCTTTTAAAGTAGTAAATACAAAAACCAGATACATCTACTTAATTTCCGGTTCCAGCAATTGCAGGTCATATGTGTTTTTTCGTTTTTTGGCCTCTTAACATTAATTTGTTTTTGGTCAAAACTCTAGAGTAATTAATTTTGAATAAAAACGCATAAAATTTAATACCCTTAAAATGGACCGTTTTAAAGATATTTTAATTTAAAGTGAAAACCACACAACACTGAAAGCAAAAAGTATGAATTTTGAATGAGCGATATCCACGGCAACAAATGACCATGGTCACCTAGTTTGCTGTCACTCAACTTAAGATTGGACGATTATTATTAGACAATTAATCGAAAATATTTAATAATAGAGTTTAGCTCAGACTCCAAACATAACTTAGAATAAATCCAAATGGATCTCGTAGCATTTAATTCATAAAAAATTCACAAAAATGTATCGTCAAAATTAACAGATGCTTGACAGCGATTTATGTGACCATGGTCATTGGTTGCCGTAGATACCAGTCATTCAAAATTAATATTTTTTGTTTTCAATTAAAAATTAAAAACAACCAAAAATTGAGTAGATGTATCCAGTTTTCGTGATTACCAGTTTAAAAGGTGTGTTCTCGTAAGTAAACTATTCCATTTTATAATATTTAGTCAAAAGGTTTCAAAGTTATTTAAAAAAAAAAAAACAAATTTCCATACCCACATTTCGAGGGCTGAAAAATTCTTATCAGTAGAGATGGGACACGAGTTATAATTAAAATTAACATCATTTTATAGGCTATTTTTGAGGTTTAAATATTGCTTCATATGACCCTATATGTTAAAATATTATTATTTTTAATCTGTTTTAGTGAATAAATATTTTTGAAATATTCAAATCAATATTTTAATAATAAAACCACATGTATTACATAAAAATCAATCTTTTAAACAAAAAACAAATAATTTAATATTTGTTGAGTTCAAATAATTTAAATACAAACTTGTAACTTTAGTTGACTGTTTTAAAATGAAAAAAGTTTGTATTAAATTTGAACTTATGTAAAAGTTGTCAGTAACATGACAACCAATAAGAGAATATTATTATTTCACAACATTTCAAATTACTTAATTCTTAAATAAATTAATCAGTTCTTTTTAATTTAATCGATTAATTAACTAGTAACGTACTGTTAAACCAAAAAACCATAACTTATCTTCATTTTTGTTACCAAAAATAAGTGCAAGGAACAGGACCAGTCGAAATATGCAGTATTTCTTAATAATCGTTTTTTATTATGTTTTCTCTTATTGTCCACAATAAATACGTAACAAAAAAATTAAAGATTTTTGTTGTTTCGAATGATTTTTTAATATTTTCTTATTAATAGATTTCTGAAAGCAACATAAAATAGTTACACAAAATAAACGTAGCAGAATATAAAAAAAAACCTAAAAAATAAACATAATGTAAAGCTATTGATGGTAAGCAGTAGTTAAAGTAAGTTAAATTGATATAAAAAGAATCAAGTCTCCGGAAAATTCGCAATACGATTATCACAAAATAGTGTACTTAAGTTTATATAACCGAATAATACCTGAATTGATTTCTTTATAAAAACAATCCCCCAGATCCCACATTTTGTTGCTCAGTTCAACTAAAAATAAACTATAAACTTTATTATTACCAAGCAGTCTTGGGAAATCACTGCCGAAGAACTCTACTTTTAGTATACTGCAGTGATATAATAAACGAACCGTTCTGCAATAGTTTGCAAATTTATTTTGATCATAATTTCCATAACATTCGAATTGTTAAATTGAAATTTCTAAATATTGCGTTTCCTTTGCTGGAAGATTTGTGTGAAATTGTGGCGAGTTGATCCTAGACATAAAACTTTGGAGTTTGTAGATTGCATGAATATGTCTCAAGTTTTCTCAATTCGAGCAATAAGACGAAGTCATCGGCCAAAGTTTTTGACCTCACCTTTGTGTACAAGTATAGAGACGGTAGTGGTGTGAGGGGGTTTAGTAAAACAATTAAACCAACAATTGGAACATGCCTTTGCTTAATAAAAAAGGTCATTAGGGTTTGTTGCAACACAATTCTAAGAGTAATTAGTACGACACGCAACATATGAGGTGAGGCTGTGCTACAGTAATATGAAATATAAAAGCGACGTGTAGCTTCTATGTATATAAAAACTGACATTTTGCCGTTCAAATTGAGGTTTAAGGTCCATTAGTGTTTCGTTAGAGAGAAAAAAAACACGCAATTTCAACGAAATCTGCCAGTTTTACGAGGGATATAAGCTATTGTCACACAAATATGTAAGTAAAATGTCATACACCAACATAAAAGGAAAAGACAATAAATCGGGAAACGAATTTGGAAAATAAATGCCTACTCACATATTGCCGAGTTATCTGCGAACATTACAGAAATATGATGGTGTATTTGTTAAAATTGTTGTTTCGGGTGCATTTTCATTAACCGACTACTAAGCGAGTTTCAACACTTAAAAATCCCTATTGTTTTCAAATAATTAATGCAAAATATGCACTAGTTATGTAATTATTTACTTTCTGAAATGATTAATTATGCATTTCTGCTTTAAATAAGGTATTATGTTTCACAGTTATTTGTAAAGAGAATTGTATAAACAAATTAAAATTGGCAAAAAACTTGTTTTTCTGTCATATTTTTTTCACTTATGATGTTTATTGATTATTGCCGAAATTTTTTTAAGGGACATTTCTGAAACATCTTCATTGCATGACACGTCCGTGGAGTTACAGAAATGCATGAACTTAAAATTTTCAGGCAGAATCAATGTAGAGGGTGTTTCAGAACTCGCGCCCCAGAGAAAAATGTCAAGTAACATGTGATACCAGAAATATGGAAAAAATGTTCTATGTCAAAAAATTTTGACTTTTATTTTTTGACATTTGACATTTTTTATGTCTATTTAATATTACTGATGATATGTTTTTGCATAATTCTTTAGTAAAGATACAAAAATTTTGCCAATAAAAATTTGCCACAAATAACGTTAAACACGGTTACAATTTAGGTTACAACTTCGTTGTTTCCTCTTTTAATAGTCTGTAGCAAAAAAAACTTAGAAAATTATTTTTTCCAACATAAATAAATAGGGTCAAAGTGCATAATTTAAATACCCGTAATTTCGAAATTCTTGAACAGAATTTTTTTCCATGTTCCTGATATCTTACAAGGTATTATTATTGCAAAATAAATATTTTTGCAACACTAATACCTTATACTGCATTTGAGCTTACCTCTATGTTGCCTATAAAATACGCTTCATCTATAAAGTACACGGCAATAGCAACGTATTTTATGAGTCTATAAAATACGCTGATGCATATTTTTTGTCTATTTTGACATTATTTTGATATACGTCTTTATAATAATTTCTGACTAGTAAAATTTCTGATTCAATATTAGTGTTGCAAAAAATCTTGAAGACCACACGAGTTTTATACATAGTTTAAAAATCTCAGCCTATTAAATTAACTACGACTTTAATTTTTAAACTGTCTATACTATGTACTAGTTGTCTTCCCCAACAGAACAAATAAAGGTCAATCATTGTTTTAAATATCCGCACTAAAACAATTTTTGTCTATTGAATAAGCATTTTTATTTTTCAATTAACTTGAAATGTGAAATGACTTCAAAAATTGTAAAAATACATCGAAAATTTCATTTATGTAAAGTACAAATAATAATTAAATTATTTCTCTATTCTCTTTAAAAATATGAAATAGTTATTGATTAAAAAACACCAAACAATAAAAAATAATAATTTAATCTAGGTAAAACAAAAATTATGTAAAATGC